AGTTTACCAGCTTATTACCAGAGTTGAAAAAATAACTTACTGCTTCTGTGTTTTTTTTAACGTTATACAGAGCTTTAGCATTGATAATTTTGTCCTTGCCATGTTGACGGTCGAGAGTACTATTTGATGAAACAATGAATGGTACTCCTGTGTAAGAGACGTCCTTATCCTCAAAAAACACTTTGTGATTTTTCAGTAATACTTCTGAAAAAGCAGATTTTTACATATATAGCTAGTGTAGAATAAGTAAATTTTATCGCAAAATACATACTTACATGCATATTTGACTAATATAAAAATAAACTTTATAATAAACAATTTTGCTAAATATATATTTAAATAGGTGCATAACATAAACAATTAAGGTCAATACAGGGTTGCTGCTATAATTTCTATTAATTTTCCACAAGTAAATAATTTCCCTTGGGTGAGTTGTGAGCCATTTAAATTCCATGAGTTTTCCGTAATTATTTATTTTATCCATGAAATTATTATTTTACGCATTTAAACATATTTTGCATCTTTGAAAAACCAAATTTTCCACAATAGAGCAATAAAAATCTTAATCAATAAAGATCATAAAAAATTGTCAATGTTTTAGGATTTACACAAAAGTTTATCTAAAAACTTATCCAGCAGATTTCCCAAATGAATAAAATATTGATACATACACAAACACACACACACACACACACACACACATATATAAATATATATATATATATATATATATATATATATATATATATATATATATATATATATATATATATATATACACATATATGCATATACACATACATACATACATATACATACACATATATACATATACATATATATACACATATATCATTTTATAATATATATACATATTTTTTAAATTTTAAATTTTAATTTTTGCTTGAATGTATTTTTACTTTATAGAATAAATTTATTCGCTTATAATTAATACTTAACTTAACGCTGCCGCTACTGCTGCTGCTCACCATTTGTGCACCTTTACACGGACTTTTTTACCATACTTGGCCTTTGAGTTTTATTATAAATTGCTTTACTTCTGAACTCGCGTAATGAGGCTCTTTCAAATCCTAATAATCTGTCAGTATCTGCTTAATCAGTAATGAGATCAAAAACTTTGTTTCATCAGCTTAATTAGTGATAAGATCAACAATTTTTATTTGATAACTTCTGTAGTAAAGGATGAACATTATGTTATTATTGAATTAGTAAAGTAACTTTTAAAGTCAGGTGATTTATTTAAATCATGCATTTTAGTCTTTTGTCAATTGTATTTAAATTTATTAATTTATAAAATTAATCTGTAATTTTTAAATTAAAAGACGACTTAAGAAGACGTTGCTCATTTCAAAGGTCAAGAGGTCAAACTCTTAATAAAGTTAGTGTTTAAAACACTTGCATCTCACACGGTCAACTCAATGTTACATGTTAAAGAACAAGATCGTTTAATACCTTATTTAAAAGAAGTTATAAAAATCCGTATAAAAAACCAGATTGTTTGATAGTTTGTTTTTGAAAGTTGTTAAACATTTATTACGAGGTATTTCAAAAAACAAAAATAAGGTTGTATTTGTAAAGTTTCAAATTTATATATTTTTCTTAATTTATATATTTATCTATATATGTGTGTTATTTATATTGTGTTTTATTGTGTTTATATGTGTTAAGGTTATATGGGTTTATATTTTGTAAGTGTGTAAATATATGAAATGTTTCAATGTTTGTGGTGTGTTAAATGTAATATGTTTATAGTTTGTAAGTGATAATTATGTTGTTTGCATGGTTTCAAATTGTTGTGACTGGGCTTAGTTTACAGCAAGATTGTTGACCTTGCTAGCCAAGTGGTGTACTTTGCTATAATGTGACCTGGCTTTGTTGAGAGCAAAAATATTGTCCTCGCCAGCAGAGTGGTGTATTGTCATAATAAAACACATAAATTAATTCTGTTTGTAATTAGTGTATTTCTAAAATGTGTTGAAAAAATATTGTTGAAAAAATGTGTTTTAATGTTGTTATCCTCTGTTCTTAACAATGTATGCTTTTGACAATATATAAATTTTGTTAAAAAGCAGGCTTTACTAACAGCTCCTCCTCATTAAAATTTTTAAGAGTTTCGATTTTCTTCATTAAATATGTTTAACTCAAATTTTTTTTATATATATAAAAGTAAGCGTGTTGAAGCATAAGTTTTAATAACTTTTGTTAAATTTTTAGGATTTTTTGTATAGAGAATGTTTTCTTTATATTATTATTTTAATGTTTTGTATGTACATCAATATATATATATATATATATATATATATATATATATATATATATATATATATATATATATATATATATATATATATACATATATATATATATATATATATATATATATATATATATATATATATATATATATATATATATATATATATATATATATATATACATATATATATATATATATATATATATATATATATATATATATATATATATATATATATATATATATATATATATATATATGTATATATATATATATATATATATGTATATATATAGACACACACACACACAATAAAATATATAGAATTAAAATGTCTATACATATGTGTATAGACATTTTAATTTTTTTGCCTTAAATTATTGTCCCTTTTTCTTAAGAATATTAAATATCTAAAAAAAAATTAAAATAGTAAAAGAAGTTTCAATATTTCCAAGTTTCTTCACTTGAAGCAAATATATGATTGTTTATAGAGGTTCTTTTAGTAGTTTTGTATTTATTTATTGCAAATCTTGCGTTAAATGCCTTTCAAAGTAATGAAAGGGTTTTGTTGATGGATGATTACATTTTATCCTTCCATGCTAGCAGTACCTGCTGTGTTGACAGGCCTTAAATTTTTTTAATTTGCTTTATTTATGAGTTCTTATATGTAAAAAATTTGTTTTTTAAATTAAATTTTTTTTTTTTTTTTTTTTGATTAAATACTTATAATATTCTGTCAATAAATAATAACAACTACCATAAATATATAAACAATACTTAGTTGAAAATATTATATTAATTTATAACTTTAGTTTAAGTTTTTAATAAAACTATGTTATCTTAACACAATGCTATATATGGTAGAATATAATAGATTATAGTATTATGCTCTGTATTATTTGCTTACACTTTATTTTAGATAAGTTTAAAAAAGAAATTTCAACTTTTATTATAACTTTTTTTTTATTATTCAACTTTTTTTATTATTCAACTTTTTCTTATTATTCAACTTTTTTTATTTTTACACACTCCTTTGATGCCTAATTATGTCTAATAATTTAAGAAATGAAATTATTAGACTTCGTCAAAATGAAAGAAGGCAGGCTAGGCGAGCTGAGATAAATCGTCGTCGAATTGAAAGAGATGAGCCTAGGCGAGCTGAGATAAATCGTCGTCGAATCGAAAGAGATGAGCCCAGGCGAGCTGAGATAAATCGTCGTCGAATTGAAAGAGATGAGCCCCGGCGAGCTGAGATAAATCGTCGTCGAATTGAAAGAGATGAGCCCCGGCGAGCTGAGATAAATCGTCGTCGAATTGAAAGAGATGAGCCCCGGCGAGCTGAGATAAATCGTCGTCGAATTGAAAGAGATGAGCCCCGGCGAGCTGAAATAAATTGTAATCAAAATGAAAGAAATCAGGCTAGGCGAGAACTTAATAGGTATAATATGCATCGCATAGCAAGAAATAATATTGCTATAGAGAGTAACTACCTCGGAGAATTAAACCATAATTGTCAGTATTGCAGTGCAAAGAAGTTTTTAAATGAAACTCATTTTTTGTGCTGCCATTCAGGAAAAGTTATATTAGCTCCTCTTTCTCTTTATCCGCCATTGTTGACTGGTTTAATGACAGGAAACCATGTTGATCATGTTGTAAATCAAAATTTTTTTAAACACATAAGGAGTTATAATTCCTCTTTATCTTTTGCTTGCTTCACTGCCGAAATAGCTCCTCCCTCAAATAATGGCCCTTTCTGTTTTAGGGTCTGTGGGCAAATTTTGCATCGTGTTGGAAATTTAAGGCCTGCAGAAGGTTGTCTGCCCAAATATTGTCAGCTGTATATCTATGATCCTAATGCAGCAGTGTCATTCAGAATGGAACAACCTGGTAATGATGGTTGTATACATGAGTTAGAGGTGTTAGAGGCAGTTTCTTTTGAAGATTTGCGTACTGTTAATGGTACAGTTTTTAATACATTCCGAGAAGCATGTTCTCAATTAGGTCTGTTACAAGACGACGCTGAATAGAGAAATACATTAACTGAGGCTGCTGCAACTCGGTTGCCAAATCAAATTAGACAGTTGTTTTCCATTATTTTGACTTTCTGTGAACCTGATGATCCATTAAATCTTTGGAATGCCTTTAAAGATTTTATGATGGAGGATTACATTCACCATTCCATGCCACCAATAATTGCTGAGCAGGCAGCTTTGCGTCAAATTGAATCTATAATTAATCAGAATGGTAACCCTTTAGCTGATTTTAATCTTCCTACTTTAGATGAGTTTTTAGATTATGTCCCACAAAATGAAGAGGAAGATGTTCAGGTTTTAATTGATGAAGCAAATAGGGTTAGACCATTGTTAAATGATAATCAGCGTCAAATTGCTAATGCTATCCTTTCTGCTCTTAGTGAGCAACCTAACAATGAAAACAAGCAGTCTAGATTGTTTTTTATGGATGGCCCTGCAGGTTGTGGTAAAACATTTACATACAATTATTTAATCGCTGAAACCAGCAGTAGACATATTATAACTGCAACAGCTGCATGGACAGGAATAGCTGCAACTCTTTTAAAAAAAGGATGTACACTTCATGGTTTGTTCAAACTTCCTGTGCCGATTTTGGAAAATAGCACATGCACACATGCAATGTAACTCCAAATTCTATACACGGAAAATTCTTAGGGCAAGTTAGCCTTTATTTACTAGATGAGGCATCCATGATACCTAAACATGCTTTAAATGCCATTGATAAGTTACTTCAAGACGTTTGCAATAACAAGTTTCCTTTCGGTGGTAAAGTTATTCTTATGGGTGGGGATTTTATGCAAATACTTCCGGTTGTAAAGAGAGGCAACCAGCTGATATTGTTGAAGCCTGTATAAAATGTTCTTAACATTGGCAATATGTTCAGCGATTTTCATTAACAGAAAATATGAGGGTTCAGACCGAAGAAGAGGAATTCTCTCAATGGCTTTTAAAACTTGGTAGTGGAACATTACCTTAAAAAGCAGATGGTTCCTTTCGCGGGTGCATTGAGATTCCTGAGCAATGCTTGCTTGGAGAAAATGAATCTTTAGTAGACAAGATTTTTGGAGTTGCAGAAGAAGATGATTATGCTAAACGTGCCATTTTGACACCCAATAATGTTGATTCTTTAGCAATAAATGAAGAAGTTTTAGACCGTTTACCAGGTGACGTTAAGGTTTATTTAAGTGCTGATACTATTGAAACAGGTGATCTTAACGAAATCAATAATTTTCCTGTTGAGTTTTTAAACAGTCTTACTCCATCAGGAATGCCTGTTCATTGCCTAAAGCTAAAAATTGGTGCTGTTATAATGTTACTTCGAAATTTAGATCTAAAAGCTGGACTTTGCAATGGTACCCGATTGATAGTGCGTGCTCTACAAAATAATTACATTGATGGGCAAGTTCTAACAGGTGTTTCAGTTGGCAAGAGGGTATTTGTCCCTCGGGTTCAGTTAACACAATCTGATTCAAATTTACCTTTTACTCTTAAGCGTCGTCAATTTCCTGTAAGATTAGCATACCCAACGACCATAAATAAAAGTCAAGGTCAAACTTTTGACAAAGTTGGTATTTATCTCAAAAACCCTTGCTTTTCACATGGTCAACTCTATGTTGCATGTTCAAGAACAAGATCGTTTAATACCTTATTTTTTAAAATTGATGAACATTCATTACAAGGTATGTCATTTAATAAATGCTACACAAACAATGTTGTATTTACCAATGTACTAAATCTATAAATAATTAATTTTTTACAATTAAACTCCTCATTTCTTATAAATATTTTAACTGTAATTTAAAGTATTTTTGTGTGTTGCTTGATGCAGTAATGTGTGATATTTATTATGTGTTTAAATATGTCTTAAGGTTGTATTTTGTAAGTGTTTATGTGTAACTAATGTGTAAATGACTGTTATATGTGAAGTGTATTTTTTATGTTATCTGTTTATAGTTTGTGAGTTGTTATTATGTTGTTTTCATGGTTTCAAAGTGGTGTGACTTGGCTTTGTTTATGGCAAGAGTGTTGTCTTTGCTAGCTAAGTGATGTACAGACATGAAACACATAATAAAATCTGTTTGTAATCACAAAATGTGTACTTATAAGTATGTTATATTTTGTAAGTATTTATGTGTAATTAATGTGTAAATGGCTGTTACATATGAAGTGTATTTTTTGTTATGTTATCTGTTTATAGTTTGTGAGTTGTTATTATGTTGTTTTCATGGTTTCAAAGTGGTGTGACTTGGCTTTGTTTATGGCAAGAGTGTTGTCCTTGCTAGCCAAGTGATGTACAGACATGAAACACATAATAAAATCTGTTTGTAATCACAAAATGTGTACTTATAAGTATGTTATATTTTGTAAGTATTTATGTGTAATTAATGTGTAAATGGCTGTTACATATGAAGTGTATTTTTTGTTATGTTATCTGTTTATAGTTTGTGAGTTGTTATTATGTTGTTTTCATGGTTTCAAAGTGGTGTGACTTGGCTTTGTTTATGGCAAGAGTGTTGTCCTTGCTAGCCAAGCGGCGTACTGACATGAAACACATAATAAAACCTGTTTGTAATCACAAAATGTGTACTTGCAAGTATGTTATGCTGTTAGTAAATAAAGTATTTACAATAAAGTCTGGATAACTCAATAAATCAACTTAAATAAATCAAACTAATTTTAAAATTCCAGTTGAGCGATTGTTTATGGATCATACTACCAATAACTGAAATATTTTCTAATAAGCTAATTGCTTGATCCTTTGGTGGTTTAAGTTATTGAGTCTTTACTGTAAGATTTTGTGCTATTTGTTATTGATGTTTGTGATGTTACTGTTGTGATGTTTTGTGTTGATAGACGACTTGGCTTACCTGTCTATCGTTAAAAATGATTATAGGGTTGTTTCATACTGAAACTGACTATATATAATCATTCACTAAAAGCCAAGCATTCAATTTTTATAATAAACTGTAAGGGTTTATCTTTTTTTGATTATTTTCAGAGTGCTTTTTTTTGAAAAGATAATCGAAACTTGCAACAAAAAAATCTTGAAACCTTTACACAAAACATATTCAAACAAAAAAAACAATCTCAAAGTAAGTTTCTTATTTGATATCGCCTTGGTCACACTTTTGAGTTTTTAAATAAAAGAGTACATTAATGTGTTATGTTTTCAATAATTTTGTTTTATTTTAGTTCGAATGCCTTCTCTTAATGTTGATCGTTTTTTAACATCCAAAGGGAAGTTTTGTTAGTCTTTATACCATTTACTAAAAGATATATTATAGGGAAACAATTCAAATTGATTTTATAAAGTACTTCTGATACTTTTTATGTTATATATAATAGATATTGTAAAATTAAAAAAAAAAAAAATTATTTTTTTAATTTTATCTCAAGAAATATGTCTTTTGTTTCTCACACAAATTTGTAAATTTTTTTTCTTTGGAATTATAGTATTTGATGGATACATTGCTCATTTTGCTTTTTTTATATATATCTCCGTTATATATGAAAGGAAACCGTTAATACTTTTATTACCATGGTAATTACAGATCTAGATAGTTCCATTCCCATTAAGTATTTTACAAATTTTCGGTACAAATAATACCTATAGTAGTTTAATAATTTGCTAATTTAAAAACATTTAGAAAAATTTGTTGAGAGTTTATTGTAGAAAATTTGCTTTTCAAACAAATAGAGCTAATTTTTGACATAATTAGGATTCGTCACCTGATTCTTTGTCAAACACTTCTCCTTTTTAAATAGGAAAGGTTAAATTTTATAAAAAAGTTTGCCAAAACACCGGGAGAAATGTCACGTAATTGGTAACTATGTTAAATACACTTTTGTTAGGTCCACGTAATTTTCGAATCTGCTCAGGTATTTTAAGGTATTTTAAAGAAATAACGCCATCTAACTACGTTAGATGGCGTTATTTCTTTAAAATACCTTAAAAATCTTCAATTCAAAGTTTTTGTTTCGAATCATCAAAATATTGGCATATGATATAAATATACGATTCTAATAAACCAAAAGTATGTGGAAGAATTGCGCATACTTAGGCATCATAAAAACTTAATTCACACTAACCATTTACTTCGATATTTTTTAGTGTATGGCAAAAAAATAAATTACGAATTGTCTTAGATAAATAAAGTTTTTTTACTTTATTACTTTATCCATAAACAATTATTGTTTCATTCGATTTAACACCACAATAAAAAACAAAGCTTTTTCTATTTATTTTCGAAAAACGTTTTACTGGAAACCGAGTTCTTTTGTAGCATTTTAGTTAGAGTTATAGAAAAATCTATAACTCTTATTTTGTTAAGTAAAAAAAAAAATCTTATGCTCTTCTAATTTTAGTCACCAATAACAACTATGTTAGGAATAGTAGAAAATGTTATGTGTGGTAGAGAAACTGTTTTAGTGTGGTGTTGTAGGAGTACTGCGGGTCTAAGAAACTTTGTTTTCATCGATAAATTATTCTATTAGTCTATTAAAACAGTATGAAAACTTTCCAGTATTTATATTTGATGTCTTTTTTTCATTTTATTTTATAATTGTAATTTAAGTTTCAAAAAGCAGCAAAAACAACTTGAAAAGAACTATCGCACAATGACTCGCTTATACACAGGATTCCAATTTCCTGATATACATGGAAATGCTGATATTGCTTTCACTATATTGTCTCTTTGTAATGTGTAACATCATTTTTACTTAAGTTTGCCAAATGACCGGCTTTTACAGAGTAGAATATAGTCCCAAACATATACAGTTCAGTTCTTTTACTGCTTTCTTCTTCATAAAAGCCGGACGTCTTGCAACCCTTGAATTTCCCCTTCTTTTTGTTTGCATAAATTACATAATTCTCTTAATTATAAATACTCTAAATCCGATTTTCGAACAGCTTATTTTAAAATCTAAAGAAATATAAGCGATTAAAGATTACATTTTGCAAGCCAATTAGATGCTTAAACAACTCAAAAGACAGCCACGCGCTCATTATAACTCTCTTATAGTTTTAGAATCTGAGTGAGTTACTGTTTTGAATATCTAAAATCTTCAAATTAAGTTTTTATGATTTTAAGTTAAATTAGACTTAAGAATATGTGTAAGAATTGAGAATAAATATTTACTTTTTATTTTAGAAATGAACACACATGAAAATTTAAACGGTATGTATTTATTGCATATGTGTGTTAGTGCTGTATGCGCTTATATTAGATATTATATTGGATTTACGCAGAAAGCTTTTCAAAGAAGCGAAAGAATGGAGAGCGAAAGGTAAGTTTGCTAAAGTAGTTTATAATAAATTAATTACGCGCGACCTATTATAAAGGAATTCTTTTAATATTCTATAATTAAATTTAAAAACAAAAATGGATGACTACGAATCCATTACTTTTAATTTTCATGATAAGTACTTAAAATCAAATTTTAATTCAGATCCAGATGTCAACTTTTTTAATGATGTGAACACATGTTGTTTTTATTTTTATCCCAACGAGTTAAAAGAATTTCTTAATAAAAATGGCACTGAAAATCAAAAAATCAGAATCCTTCACATTAATATTAGAAGTCTAAATACAAATTTTGAAAAATTTTGCGATTTTTTAGATGAAACTGAATATATTTTTAACATAATTTGCTTAACAGAAACGTGGATTTCTTCGAATGATTTTAAAAATAATTCTATTTTCCATCTTCCAGGTTTTGAAACAATTTTATTAGAAAGACAAACAAATAAACGCGGTGGAGGAGTTCTGATTTACGTTAAGGAACACATTGCGCATAACATTAGGAATGATATGTGCGTTTCTGACGGTGATAAAGAAATCGTAACTATTGAAATTTTAAACAATAAAAATCTAAGTTTTTTTTTACAGCAAAATATCATTCACAAAGGTAGCAAAGAAAACAAAATTACTTTTATAATTGGAGATTTCAACATGAACTGTTTAATTTATAATAAAGATAAAAAAATAAAAAGTTTTTATGATGAAATACTTATGGCAGGAGCTGTTCCTTTAATTAATCGCCCTACTAGAATAACCAAAACTTCAACTACGTTGATTGATAATATTTTTACAACGGATATTTATAATAGAAAATTAAAAAAAGGAATTATAAAAACCGACATATCCGATCGTTTCCCCATTTTTCTAACAATCCATACTGTATCCTCTAATAACCCCGAAAAACAAAATATAATAAAAAAACGTGTCTTCAATGAGAGCAATATAAAATCCTTCCAATATTAATTATCACTTCTGCATTGGAAACATATTAACTTTAATGAAGACGCAAATACAATATATAATAAATTCTTTGACACGTTCTTCTCAATATACGATGCAAACTTTCCACTTTGTGAAAAAATAACAAAAATAAAAACCTTAAATAGTCCATGGATTACCAAAGGACTTAGAAAATCCTCTAAAATAAAACAGAAACTATATATAAAATATCTAAAAACAAAATCAAATGAAAACCAACAAAAATATAAAAATTACCAACATTTATTTGAAAAAATTCGTAAAAAATTAAAAAATTATTATTCATATTTAATTAGTAAATTTAAAAACGACTCAAAAAATACTTGGATAACGTTAAAAGAAATAACAGGAAAAAAAAAAAAAAATTCAAACTCCCTTCCTAAAGTAATTAAAATAAATGAAACAAATATATATGAACCAAACGAAATTGCAAACGAGTTTAATAAATATTCCATTGACATAGGAACCAAATTGGCAAACAAGATCCCTATTACAGAAAAAAACTTTAGTGATTTCCTAGAGCCTATAAATAATTCGCTTTTTATAGATAATTTACATTCTGACTTATCTTTTGATGAGTTTGAGATAGCTTACAAATCTCTCAAAAGAAACAAAGCTACGGGTGCGGACGAAATAAATGGCAACATAGTCATAGATTGCTTTGAAAACTTGAAGTGTATTCTTTATAAAGTCTTTAGGGCATCTATACAGCAAGGTGTATTCCCCGACCAATTAAAAATAGCTAAAGTAACTCCTATATACAAAAACGGAAAAAAATCAAATATTAGTAATTATCGCCCTATCTCAGTTCTTTCAACTTTCTCAAAAATTTTAGAAAGAATTATATACAATAGAACATACAATTACCTTTATCTTAATAAACTTTTATATAAAAATCAATTCGGTTTAAAAAAAAATTGTTCAAATGAACAAGCCATTACACAGTTCATTCGTGAAATCTCCGATTCATTTGGTAGATCACAATATACATTAGGTATTTTCATTGACCTATCAAAAGCATTCGACACGGTCGATCACAAAATTCTACTTAAAAAACTCAAATTTTACGGAATTAATGGCAAATTAATAAAATGGTATCAAAGTTACTTGGAAAATAGAAAACAATTTGTTTTCTATGAAGATTATTTTCAAAATGAAAAATTAATTGACATAAAATGTGGTGTTCCACAGGGTTCTATTCTAGGCCCACTTTTGTTTTTAGCTTATATAAATGATTTTAATAAAGCTTCTAACCTTATGAGTATAAATTTTGCCGACGATACTAATTTATTTCTGTCAAACAGTAGCTTTTATGAGCTTTTTTCAAATATGAATAATGAACTCAATCAGATCTCCAACTAGTTTAAGTGCAACAAGTTAACTTTAAACATCGACAAAACAAAGTGGATCCTTTTCCACTCTCTTGCTAAAAAGCGTTTTTTACCAAATAAATTGCCTAAACTTTTTATTGATAAATTTGAAATAAAAAAGGAGTCGGTCACAAGATTTTTAGGCATTTACATTGATGAAAATATTACATGGAAGTATCATATCGACTATATTTCTACTAAATTGGCTAAAAGTATTGGAATTCTATATAAGGTAAGATACTATCTAAGTAAACAAAATTTAATTCAACTTTCCTACTCGTTTATTCATAGCTATAAAAATTATGCAAATATTGTTTGGGGAAGTACCTCTAAAAGTAAGTTACGAAGTCTTTACCATCGTCAGAAACACGCAATGCGTTTAATATGTTTCGAAAATCGTTTTTCTCATTCAAATATTTTATTTAAAAACGTTAAAGCACTTAACGTTTACGAACTCAATGTCTATAATATTTTATGTTTTATGTTTCGTTGTAAAAGTGAACGACCATTGTCCAATTTCAAAGATCTTTTTACTTATAAAGCTATAAACAAATATGCTTTACGAAATAATAATTTATTAATTGAACCCTTTTGTCAAACAAAGTTTTATCAATTTTGCATAAACTATAAAACACCGTATTTAAGGAACAAAATTGTTGTTCCAAATTTTGATTTGTCGATTTCGTTTTCCGTTTTTAAAACTAAATTAAAAAACTATATTCTTTCTACTGGCAATATATATAAATATTTTTGAAATGTAAAATTCTTTTTTTTTACTCTGGATAATTTGTAAAATTATTTTCAGTTTCTGTTTCTTCTACATTGTTATTAGTTATTTGATCAATTATATTTTATTTTATTATATATACACGTATTATATCTTTTATATGGTTCTGGCGACAAGATCATTTGGATCTTCTTTCAGATACCAAGTTTATATATTGTTATATTACGATTAATATTTGTAAACTGAAAAAAAAAAAAAAAAAAAAAAAAATTATATCTATATATCTATATATATCTAATATATGCGTATACAGCACTAACGCTATACTTTATTTAGTACGCATATATAAATATATAAATATAAATAGACAAACAATTTACACTCTTATAAACAGTGTTGGGTTAACTGATAGACAAAATAAGCACTGCTATCATATTTTATTTATTGGAAATAAATAAAAATATCAAGTAATTCTCTTTTTAAACGATGATGGTGACTTTTTTAGAAGTAAGTAAACTATAATTTCTTTAGAAGTAAACAATTTTTATTTATATAAAGTGATAGTTATAAAAAATTTATTTCAAGTATGGAGAAATCAGAAGCATATTTTTTGTCAAATATTTGTATACTAATAGTAATTTGATTGTTGGTAATAGCTATATAGTTATATACACGCAGCTATTTATTAGTGAAATTTCATTATTATATGTAAAATTCAAATCTTGAAATAAAAAAAAAATCATTATGTGTTTTTCAACTAAAAACTTGGAATTTATTTTCTAGACCAGATGTTGTGATTATTATATTTTCTAGACTAGATGTAGTGCTTTATCATATGATATGCTAAATGTATATATTGTATTGTGTGTATATCTTGGATGCGCAGGAGATAATGGCAGAAGAGACAGAGTCTCTTCTGCCTTATTTTAAAGAATTCTTCAATAATCAAAGTTAGCATTTTCTATTTTTTCTTTTTTACTTCAGTTTTTTCGAAGTTTATGTTACAGTAAATAAATTTATGAACAATCTTTCATACATTTTGTTTATTTAGAAAATTTAGAAAGTAGAGTTAGTAAGCAAAATTTCATTATATTACTTTTATGTATATTAAATAAAAAATAATGAGGTTGGCTTTAGTAATTTGTTCATCTATTTAGAAAAATTAGAAGATTTACAAAAGTCCATAGGTGAGTAAAATTGCTTTTATGTTTATTATACACCCTAATTATTTATGTACATCTATTATTAAATGCGTTTTTTTAATTTGAGATTAGTTTTGGACTTTGTACTTTTTGGTCAATTTTTTTAGATATCATTTTAAACTACATTTGTAAGTAACTATATTATGTTTTATGTCTCATAAAAGTTTTAATAAATAATATAATGTAATCACTTATATAGTGACAAATCCAACTTCCTCAGTAACGTATGTTGTTGTACTCACTTAGACTTGACTTATTGCATTGATTGATTGTTTTTATTGCATTTTTAATTTTCTTTTATTTATGTCTAGCTGTTGCTTCTTCTGCTACAAGTAAGTTGTTCTATTCACTTATACTTACCTTAATTTATTGATTAATTGGTTTTATTGCATTTTTAATTTTCTTTTATTTATCTCTAGCTGCTGCTTCTTCTGCTACAAGTAAGTTGTTCTATTCACTTATACTTACCTTAATTTATTGATTAATTGGTTTTATTGCATTTTTAATTTTCTTTTATTTATCTCTAGCTGCTGCTTCTTCTGTTACAAGTTGTTCTATTTACTTATACTTGACTTAATTTATGGATTAATTGGTTTTATTGCATTTTTAACTTTCTTTTATTTATCTCTAGCTGCTTCTTCTGTTATAAGTAAGTCACTTTTACTTAACTTATTACATTGATTGATTGTTTTTATTGCATTTTTAATTTTCTATATTTATGTCTAGCTGTTGCTTCTTCTGCTACAAGTAAGTTGTTCTATTCACTTATACTTACCTTAATTTATTGATTAATTGGTTTTATTGCATTTTTAATTTTCTTTTATTTATATCTAGCTGCTGCTTCTTCTGCTACAAGTAAGTTGTTCTATTCACTTATACTTACCTTAATTTATCGATTAATTGGTTTTATTGCATTTTTAACTTTCTTTTATTTATCTCTAGCTGCTGCTTCTTCTGTTACAAGTAAGTTGTTATATTCACCTTTACTTGACTTATTACATTGATTGATTGCTTTTATTGTACCTTTTTTTTTTAATATAGCTACAAATGTGCTTTCCAGTTTAATTAGTTAATGTAATAAGTCAGGTATTAGTGAGTAAAATAAATAAGTTGTTGTGCTCACTTGTACTTTATTACATTATTTGCTTTTATTGTTTTTTTACAGTAGATTTTTTGTAAGTATTACCTAGGTAGATAGTTGTGTTTATATATAATTTTTTTTTCAGGCTCGAAGTCATGGGAAGATTTCCGAAAGTATCGCTCCCAGCATCCAGGCCCTCTATCTATGAGGGCCTTCTATCGCTGGTGTTTGTATGGGGACGACCATCCCTACTTTAGATGAAGGGATGGCACCCCATACAACACGGGGAATAGAGAGGATGCTGGGAGGAGAAGACAACGTGGCTCAAAAGTTGTCAATAATTTTTTTACATTTTAAAATGTAAAGAAAATGACAACTTTTGAGCCACTTCATTTTTTTTTGTAATTTTTTTTTTGTAATATATTTTTGTAAATTTATTTTTGTGTTGTTTTTTAATTTTTCCCATGAATGTTAAATGTTATCAAAGTAAATCATTTAAATAAAGACACCTTTATCAACAATGCTCATTAACTAGAAATAAAAGTCATGGTCATACATTTGATAAAGTTAATGTTAATATCAAAAGGATTTGGTTTTCACACAATCAAATTCTATGTAGCACCTACCAGAACTAAGAATATAAGTGCGTGGTGTTAGTAGTTTAAAATATGTATAATAAACTCAGAATAACTCAATAACCCTCAACAAAACTATGAACTAATTTTGAAATTCAAGTTGAGCTTTTTTATTTATTAATACCTCCCCTCCCAATAACTCTAATTTTCCTTAAAAAACTAATTTTTTTGTCCTTTGAAGGTGGTTCTGCTATTTAATTAATTGTTGTGATGTTTTATGCAAATAGATTTAGCTCACATTCATGTTGGTCTGTCAGGGTTATGTAAAAATAAAAAAGTAAGTTTCTTATTCGCATTTTTGAGTTTTCAAAAGTATTGATTGCATGACATGTTAATTTGTAATTAATGTGTATGATTATGCGTTTAAATAACTTTGTTCCATTTTTAGTTCCGTTTCTTATAGCTGACTTGATTATGGCTTACCTAAAGCTTAATATTTATGAAACAATGATTCAATTTAAATTGTATTATAAGTAGCTCTGTTGAATAAATTTTTTTTTTGTGTTTTGTACTAAAGGTTATATTTTTATTTTATATCAAGAAAAATATGTTTTTAAGTAAATATCTATATTTTTTTATTTTGGGATTTATTGTTTTAAATGGATATAAAAATCATTTTTGCTTTGTCTTTTATATTTCCTTTTATTATATATGAATAGGAACCATTTATGCTTTAATCACCATTAGCACTCGAATTTTCCATTTGCATTAAGTATCAATTTTTGGCACACACGACAGGTTTAATAACTTAGGCAGTAAAAACAGCTTGAATGATTTGTTAAGAGTTTTTAAAGAAACGCTTTTACGAAAAGCATTAAATAGATAAAGCTAACTTATTTAAAATAATAAGTCTTTAACCCGTTTTTCTATATCCAAATTTACTTTTTAAATAAATGTTGATGAAAGGGTAAAATATCGTAATAGCCTACGTTAATTTTAAATTCTTTTTAAATTAAAGGAAAGAGTTTTGATACTTATTTAAATAGGGTTAATAAAATATCTTAAATTATATTATATATATTATATTTAAGAAATTATTAAACTAAATTAAATAAGATTTTTAGATGAAACAGTAAAAATAATTGTTTAAAATACGTGCGTGCAAATAATTCCTACAAATACTAAACGTAAAATAACGCTTACAAACACCAAAAGTATGTTTGCAGTGAATAAAGTTAAGTTCAAAGATAAATAGGAAGAAATGTTTAAAACTGTTTCAATAATAACATTTATTTTTAATTACTTTTGTTGTAAGTTGGGATGAAAAAAAAAGGTCACTGGAGTATGAACTCCCGGGGTGAGATGACTATATCTGTCTAAGTGTTGCGCGTCTACCAATTAGCCCATAAACGTATTTTCTATTTAGAATTTAAGATTATTTATGACGCATAAGAAGTGTAATTAAAAACTCAAAACCAAGTTTGCAACAACTGAATTTAAATAAAATCTAATTAGATGTGTATATGTTATGAACGTTAACTAAGGCGTACTTTAACGGCGTCACGTGTTGAATGTTTTAGCATTTTTCTAAGTTTGTAGTCTTTTTTACGTTTTTTCTTATTAAAATTTTTATAATCGGCATAATATTAAAATCGTTTGAAGTTTTTAAAAAAACATTTTACCAGAAATGTTTTTGTCATATCAAAAAGGAAGTATAGTTTTTTATATGTACATTTTTAAACGGTTTTAAAAAAATATTGAGGTAAGAAATAAGTATAGAAAAGGTCGGTGTGGAATAGATTTACTAAGACCCTTAGTTTACGTCCGGATAGCTATAGATAAGTACAAAAATGGTCGGTTCGGTAAAGACCCGTATTTTACGGGTCCCCCCAGCTAGTATATTATTTAATGTATCTATTATATTAAATTTTTAAAAAATTTAAGTATTTTCTTATTTATTTAATAATTTCATTTTTAATGATGTTTTTAATTAATTTTATTTATGTATTTTTTTCTTCAGAATCTTTTGTTATTGTTAAATAAAACGCATGTATACACATACCTAGATATATAACCATACACATACATTGCATGTGCATTATATACATGTATATACAAAAACACACATACATACATATGTATACATACGCATACACAGAAATTCAAACATACATACACACAAATACACATATACATGCACACACACTCATACACATATATATATTGTATATATATATATATATATTATATACATAGGTTATCCTAGTCATATTTTAAATATCCGGAAAATTGTTTGAATAAAATATCCGGAAAAAATCCGGAATTTGTTTCCCTTATTTTCTTTTTAATTTCGCCTTTAGCTAAGTGATGCTAATTTTTTTAAATACTTTTCATAATTTCTTTATGAGTGATGAGTGAAAAAGCTTAAAAAACAAATATATTACAAAAATTTATACCTCAACTTGCATTTATTGAAAATGTTTTGGATATCCGGAAAAATTATAAGTTGAAAAAAATATCCGGAATTCCGGAAATATCCGGAAAAAGATAATCCCTGTATATATATTAATTATATGTATTTATATATACATATATATATATATATATATATATATATATATATATATATATATATATATATATATATATATATATATATATATATATATATATATATATATATATATATATATATATATATATATATATATATATATATATATATATATTTATATATATATATATATACATATATATATATATATATATATATAAATATATATATATATATATATATATATATTTTACATATATTAAATATTTATATATATATAAATATATATATATATATATATATATATATATATATATATATGTATATATAAATATATATATATATATATATTTTACATATATTAAATATTTATATATATATATATAAATCTATGTATATATATATAAATATATATATATATATATATATTTATATATAAATAAATATATATATATATTTTACATATATTAAATATTTATATAAATATATATATATATAAATATATATATATATATATATAAATATATATATATATATATATATATATATATATATATATATATATATATATATATATATATATATATATATATATATATATATATATATATATATATATATATATATATACTAGCTGGGCGGACCCGTAAAATACGGGTCTTTACCGAACCGACCATTTTTATACTTATCTGATCATTTCTATAGCTATCAGGACGTAAAATAAGGGTCTTAGTAAATCTATTCCACACCGACCTTTTCTATACTTATTCCTTACCTCAATATTTTTTAAAACCGTTTTAAAAACTATGTACATATAAAAAACTATACTTACTTTTTGATATGACAAAAAAATTTCATTATATAACGTTATAATGTTCTTTAAAAAACTTTAAACGCTTTTAATATTATGCCGATTATAAAGATTTTAATAAGAAAAAACGTAATAAAGACTACGAACTTTGAAAAATGCTAAAACATTCAGCACGTGATGCCGTTAAAGTACGCCTTAGTTAACGTTCATAACATATACACATCTTATTAGATTTTTTTTAAATTCAGTTGTTCCAAACTTGGTTTTGAATTTTTAATTACACTTCTTATGCGTCATAAATTATCTCAAATTCTAAATAGAGAATACGTTTATGGGCTAATTGGTAGCCGCGCAACACTTAGACAGATATAGTCATCTCACCCCGGGAGTTCATATTCCAGTGACCTTTTTTTTCATCCCAACTTACAACAAAAATAATTAAAAATAAATGTTATTATTGAAACAGTTTTAAACATTTCTTCCAATTTTTCTTTGAACTTAATTTTATTCACGGTAAATATACTTTTGGTGTTTGTAAGCGTTTTTTTACGTTTAGTATTGGTAGGAATTATTTGCACGCACGTATTTTAAACAATTATTTTTACTGTTTCATCTAAAAATCATATGTAATTTAGTTTTATAATTTTTTAAATATAATATATATAATTTAAAATATTTTATTAACCCTATTTAAATAAGTATCAAAACTCTTTTCTTTAATTTAAAAGAATGCCTGCCCAAACCTAAACGCTCAGTTGATGTATCTCCGCTTTGCTTTTATTTGTTAACCGTTAGAAAAACATTACAAAAAGAAACATAATAGAGTCCATTAGTTTATAGCATCCGAGTAGACTCTTCCAATATTAAACAGAGTATCTTACAATTTTATTGGTTTTCTAAATTCTGTCATAGTTGCGCACTCGGTTTAGAATATTTAACGGGGGCGTAAATAAGTAACTGTAAAATTCTAAATATTTTTATTATTTTAAATTAAATAGTTTTAACGTTTTATTATTTTGAAAAATAATAAGTTCAATAAAATAATTTATTTTAAAAATAAATTTAAGATTTTTAAACTTTTTTTAAATAAGAATGTTTTTTTTTAAAACCCCCTCACTGTTTTAAAAAAATTCAAGGTCGCCGCGTGGCAAGTTCAAATCATCAGCTTGCTTTTTTTAATAAAATTATTGTTATTTAAAATGCAAAACAAAACAACTTTATAGTTCTAAATATTTACATGTTTCTACCCAATTTCTTTGCGCTAATACGACTTAAAATAACATGACAAATAACAAATTTAAAATTATAATAAATAAAAGTTTACGTAAGGCTAACCACGGCATTTTGACGAAAATTTCAAAAATATATAATAAATAAAAGACTTTGTAAATCGATCAAAATTAAAGAGACGTTGCCGCAATGCTGTTTTTAAGTGAAAGTAAAACTGTAAAACTTGACATGTTTTTGTATGTTTTAACATTTCATATTTTGAAGTTTACGTTAGATATTTGCATACACTTTTGTTTACGTTTATTTATCAAAAAGTGCTGAGACTCTTCCTCGCCATTACTTTGGTTGCAATAGTTGCCATGGGTTTGTCAAACACGCTCGAAAGAGCGCTACTAACACTATTAAGTTCGGCAATAATATATAGAGAAGATAGCTTTTAGTAAATGGTATGAATATACATTTGATAAAGTATTTTTGATAATGTATGAATAGACGTATTACTAATGGTATTAGTAATACGTCTTTAGAAAAAGTAAACGCTTTTAAAAAATGATTAACGATTAACAATTTTTAAACCAGTTATAACAGGAAATCTACCTATAAAATGAAGAAAAATATTGTTATATAAAACACTGAATACACATATAAAAGTTGTTTAAAGTTATTTAAAAGTTGTCTAAATGTTGAAAAATTACATAATAAGATGTAAAAAAATATATAAAAGGTGACGAAACTTAGTCAATTATCAAACACTAAATAAGAAACTTACTTTGAGAGATCGCTTTTGTGGAAGTCTCTAGTATTTGATTGGAAGGCTGGAAACACTCTTTATTTAAAAAGCTATTTTATCAACAATGCTAAAGATAAAAAGTCACAGTGAGATAAAAAAATTAGGCATTTATTCAAAAAAATATTTCTTGGCTTTTAGTGAATGATTAGAAGGAGTAGTTTCAGTAATGAAGCTAGCTAATAATCATTTTTAACGATAGACACCAGCGTGAAGGTAAGCCAAGCTGTCTATCAACACAAAACATCACAACAGAAACATTACACAATGACAAACAAAAACACCAGTGGTGTAGACAGGACTTTTGTTGTTTTATAAGAAATTTAAAACCTGTTAATGAATAAGATTATTATTATATGCTTAAAAAAAATACTTTTTTAACTAATTGGCAGCTAAATTCAAAGGAGGAAAGCAAACCTTTTTAAAACATATTTGTTTTCAAGCCCCAACCACATCCATATTTTACAAATTATTTGAATTTGACAAACATGAACACAATTAAGTTTAGTTGAAAGAGTCTGAAAGTAATGAAAGCGTTTGAAAGTAAATAGTCTGAAAGTAATGAAATAGTCTGAAAGTAATGAAAGTAATAAAAGAGTCTGAAAGTAATGAAAGAGTTTGAAAGTAATGAAAGAGTCTGAAAATAAAAGTAAAACCTGAAGCATCAAAAAATCCTGCCTACGCTACTGAATAATACACAACATATGACATTTGTAAGTACACATTACACAATGTATTCAGATATTATGTGTTTCCAAAATAATTAAAAAAGCTAGACAACACAACCTAGTTCAACACTTGTAACACCGCTTGGCACTAAACGCTGCCAAGTAACACCACAATTTAGTAACACCGCTTGGCATTAAGTGCCAAGTAACACCACTAATTAGTAACACCACTTGGCTGGCAAGGATCACAATCTTGCACTACACGTTGCCAAGTAACACCACTTTTCAAACATGGAAACAACATAATATAAACTTAAACACATATAAACAAACATATACAAATACAAACATCTATATATAAGTAAAAACATATATTCACATATATAAACATATATAGCAAAGAAAAAAAACATAAACAAACTTGTCAAAATTATAAATTAAGAACATTTGTAAACACAACATTATTTGTGTAATATTTGTTAAATGACATACCTTGTAATGCATGTTTATCAACTTTAAAAAACAAACTATTAAAAGATTTTGTTCTTGAACATGCAACATATAATTGGCCGTGTGAAAAGCAAGGCTTTTTGAGATAAACACCAACTTTATCAAATGTTTGACCTTGACTTTTATTTATGGTCATTGAGTATGCTAACCTAACTGGAAATTGACGACGTTTAAGTGTAAAAGGTAAATTTGAATCTGATGGAGCTAATTGAACTCGAGGAACAAATACCCTGTTACCAGCTGATACACCTGTTAGAACCTCACCATCAATGTAATTGTTGTGTAGTGCACGCACCATCAAACGTGTTCCATTACAAAGTCCACCTTTGAGATCTAAATTTCTAAGTAGCATTATAACAGCACCAATTTTCAACTTTAGGCAATGAACAGGCATACCTGATGGAGTCAAAGTATTTAAAAACTCAACTGGAAAATTATAAATTTCATTATGATCATCAGTTTCAATGCTATCTGAACTTAAATAAGTTTTAACATCACCCGGTAATCGATGAAGGACTTCTTCATTTATTGCCAATGAATCAACATTTGTTGGTGTTAAAATAGCACGTTTTGCATAATCAGCTTCTTCTGCACCACCAAAAATCTTTTCCACAATAGATTCATTATCATTGAGAAAACACTGCTCAGGTATTTCAATACACCCTTGCAAAGGATCTTCAGGCTTGACAGGTAATGTTCCACTTCCAAGCTTTAAAAGCCATTGAGAAAATTCCTCTTCTCCTATCTGAACCCTCATATTTTCAGTTAATGAAAACCTTTGCACATATTGCCAATGTTCAGAACACTTTATACATGATTCTACAACATCTGCTGGTCGACCTCTCTTCACAACTGGAAGTATTTGTCGAAAATCTCCACCCATAAGAATAACTTTACCACCAAAAGGAAACTTATTATTACAAATATCTTGTAATAACTTATCAATGGCACTCAAAGCATGTTTGGGTATCATAGATGCTTCATCGAGTAAATATAAACTAACTTGTCTCAGGAATCTACCATGAATGGAGTTTAGAGTTACATTACATGTGCAAGTTTCCAAAATTGGAACAGGAAGTTTGAATAAGCCGTGCAATGTGCATCCATTCTTAAGAAGAGTTGCAGCTATTCCTGTCCATGCAGCTGTTGCAGTTCTAATATGCCTGCTGCGTGTTTCAGCAATTAAATAATTGTAAGTAAATGTTTTACCACAACCGGCAGGCCCATCCATAAAGAAAAATCTTGAATGCTTATTTTCATTATTAGGTTCTTCACTAAGTGCAGCAAGGATTGCATCAGCTACATTACGCTGATTATCGTTTAATAATGGTCTAACTCGATTTGCTTCATCAATAAATACCTGAATATCTCCATCATCATTTTCTAGGACATTATCTAATAACTGATCTAATGTAGGCAAATTATAATCAGTTAAAGTTTTACCACTCTGATTAATTATAGATTCAATTTGACGAAGAGCAGTCTGTTCAGCAAGTACAACTGGCATTGAATGGTGTATGTAATCCTCAATCATATAATCTTTAAATGTATTCCAAAGGTGTAAAGGATCATCAGGTTCACATAAAGTCAATATAATGGAAAACAGTTGCCTAATTTGTTTAGGCATTCGAGTTGCTACAGCTTCAGTTAATGTATTTCTCCATTCAATGTCATCTTGCAATAGACCTAATCGATAACATGCTTCACGAAATGTATTAAAAACAGTGCCATGAATAGTACGCAAATCCTCAAAAGACATTGCACCTTTTACATGCAAAAGCAACAATCTAAGAAAAAATACTTCACTGGTTAGATTGACTTTATACATTCGCACAATCACCTTATCACTGCCTCTTTGTCTTACTTTCCACTTGCAATTTTTACCATCAAAAACAAAGTGATATGGAATTTCAACATAAGAATACTGACGTGCTTCATTTATCTCAGCATTTAATTTAAACCAAGCGGTTAGGTGAGTGTCACGCTGTGCAGCACGATCTATAGCTACTCGTTCTTCTCCTTCGTTAAAATATACCCTCTGATTATCAGGAAGGTGGACTTGAAGGCGGATAATAGTATGTGACATATCACTTATGGAATACTCAAATATTCGCCAAAGAGCCTCTGGTGCAGAAACAAAGCGACAATCTAAATATGTGTTAATTTCATCATGGTCAAGACTTTCATTAATTAACACATGAGCACAATCATGCCCCTTATAGACATATTTATATAAATACTTAACTGACTTAATAGACATGCAAGCTTCAACATTAATATGTGCTTGGTATTTTTTAGATAACCAAGGGTTGTAGGGTACAACCCATCGATTATCAACTTGGTTACCTTTTATAACGACTACTCTACCATTATCTAAACGCCTGTAGTGAGGATAGCCATTGAAAGTTGCAACAGTGTGAGGATTAAATTCTTTAGGAAACTTTTTTGTGCAAATCCCATCTTTCATGCAAGAAGAATTGGGATTCAAAATTCCACATGGTCCGTGAATCATACATGTTTTTATAATTTCAAAAAGTTCAGGATCAACAGTTTGATCTGGAATTTCAGCTGATATTAGACTATCAATATCCTCTGCTGTTTCTAGCTTATCATCATTTACAAAGTGCAATAAAATATGTACATGTGGCAAACCACGTTTTTGAAACTCAATAACCTGTACATGACTTATAACTTTACCTAAGACTCCGTGTTTAAAAATATCATCTAGGAAGCATCTAAGTTTCATCTTAAATACACGACAAACTAAATCAGGTCTGTCAGATGGGCTCTCACCTGGATTTAAATTTTCTGTAATTTCTTTCCATTTTGGATTGCAGGTAAAAGTAATAAAAAGATCTGGTTTGCCATATCTCTTTATAATTGCCATTGCATCTTCAAAATTTTCTTTTAAAGCTCTTGGACTTCCAACATATGAGGATGGTAGTATAACAACACGACCTGGTCTTACATTAAGGTTATTTGCAGCGTTATTTACATGTTCATATAATGTATCATATTGTTCACTTCTAAGTCTGTTTTGGTTATTTCTAATAAAAGCAAGGCGCTGACCTTCAATCTTGACATATGCATCAACAGCATACTGTTGAAAAAGCTTCTTACCATAAAATATAGGATTAAAGGTTTCTCTAACAGAAAGCCTGTAATTGTAGTACTGAGACAAAGTAACCCGATTTCTAACACGTGTAGCTCGGTCAGGATGACGCTCTAGTTGCTCATGCCATCCAGCAACACCTCTTGGAAAAAATATTGGATATATCATTGGATCTAGATTTGCAGACATACTTGAAATTGTTTTTAAGGCCTGACCTCGAGGGTATATAACTACTTCCCTAGATGGAGGTGGAGCACCATCATCCCCAACAAAAACAATGGCAACTTCCTCATGTGAAGGAAGATTGTATCGACGTCTATCACCACCTTCAAGCAATGACATTTTAACAATCGAAGTTGGTCGACCTTCTAAAGCTGCTTGACGTACTTCTTCATCTTCAATTTCAGCCATGTTTTTAAATGCAAGAGCAAATGGGTTCTCTTGACTAATTATAGTCTGCAAAAATTCCATCAACTCACGTATGCAACAATCATTTTGCTCCATTCGAAAATTTAAAGCAGTATTAGGATCATAAACATATAACTGACAATATGCAGGCAGAACATTTTGATCAGGTCTCAGATTACCAACACGATGCACAATTTGTCCGCAAATCCTAAAACAGGGTGGCCCATGATCAGACGGAGGAGCTATTCTTGCTGTGAATGAAGCAAAAGATAAACAGGCATTATAACTTCGAATATGCTTGAAGAAATTTTGATTCATAGCACGATCAACATGGTTGCCTGTCATTAAATTGTGCATGAGCAGTGGATAAGGCGAAAGTGGAGCTAACGCAACTTTTCCAGAATGGCAGCACAGAAAATGTGTTTCATTTAAAAATTTTTTGGCACCACAATATTGACAAATATGGTTCATTTCTCCAAGGTAATTACTCACTATAAAAACATTATTTTTTGCTATGCAATGCATTCCACGTCTATGTAATACTCTCCTAGCCTGATTTCTTTCATTTTGGCGACGATTAATTTCTTCTCGCCTAGCCTGATTTCTTTCATTTTGGCGAAGATTAATTTCTTCTCGCCTTGCCTCATTTCTTTCATTTTGGCGAAGATTAATTTCTTCTCGCCTTGCCTCATTTCTTTCATTTTGGCGACGATTAAGTTCTTCTCGCCTAGCCTCATTTCTCTCATTCCGACGATTTCTTCTTATTTCAGCTCTCAAGTTATTTGACATAACTAAGAAACTATGTTTGATAAAAGTTGATTTGATTAATTTTTTGTTATACTAATCTAAAATGGAAAAACATAATATGTGCATTTCTAATTATCAATATAAACTCTATAAGACTATTTATATATTTTCTAATAAAAATTATTGACCTAAAGTCTTAACTTAACTGGTTTAAAACAGAGAAAAACCTAAAAGTTAAACATAAGTTGAACCACTAAGTATTACATTTAAAGTAATAAAACAAAATATTTTAGAAATAAATTAAAATAAAATTATAACAATTTTAACAATTTTTTAATGCTAATAATAACTAAATTAAATAGTAAAATTATTTACAAATAAAAAAACGACATGCCAAATTGCAAATTGCAAATAAAACTTGTCTAACATGTAACATCATATAGTTCATATGTGGCTATCTTTAATGATTACTTTTTTATAATAAAAATCTAAAGAGAATAATATAAACATTAATATGTGTATAATGCAACAATTAGGCATATAAAACAAACAAATAGAATAAGAAAAAATTGTAACTAAATTACAAAATATTTACTATCAAGAAATCAAAAACTATATGAAATAAATAAAAATTAATAGACAAATTATTTAACATTTAACCACATAAGAGTTGTTTTGAAAGTTTAGACTCTCAAATCAGAAATAAAAATCAATAAATATAAAATTAAAAAATTAAAATATCAAAAATAAATAAAAATACTTGCAAAAATCGAAACTAAAAAACAACTTTTTTGAAACGTAAAGATATATTTACAACAAATAAATAAATTAACACAAAAAAAAAAAAAAAAAACTACTGATAAAAATTCATAATGTTTGACCTTTGGTCATTCTGCCTCCCAGCACCACTCCTCCTACCGGTGGCCCCATATGGGGTCTGTCTCCTCCATCTAAAGGAGGGATCATCTCCCCCATATTGGCACCACCGGAAGAAGGCCCTCTGTGATAATGGGCCTGGGTGCTGGGAGCGATATAAAAGGAAACTCTCCCAAGATGCTAAAAAAAAAGCAATAAATTTGATTACATACCATATATGCATATATATATATATATATATATATATATATATATATATATATATATATATATATATATATATATATATATATATATATATATATATATATAAATTCTGCATAAAA